TTAAACCTATGGTATGAAATGATTCATAGCATAAATTACCGCTAAATTAGCGAAAGTCCTTGTTTTTGATTGACTTCTCATTTTGAATCTGGATTTATATTATGCAACGTTATATCCGAAAACATTATACAATAGTTTTTTAAATTAAATTTCTAGTTCATAGATATTTGAATAATTAGTAGAAAAAGAGTTTAATATTAAAAATTATGAAAACTGCATACATAGGAGATTAGTCACTAATAGACATCAATTGTAGGCATTAGGTACAATTTGAGCGAAATCATGTAGCACATTTTGGCCATTTAACTTGATAGTGGTAATTTATTTGACACAAAAAGATTAATGTAAAATTAAGATATGTTATTTGCTTCAATTATAGTGAAATCGATGTGTAATGTAAATATTACTAATTTAATGCCACTATATTTCTCGTGTGAAAGTAGTTTATAATCCTTTGAAAACTATTGAATTATAGGATTCAATGAAAATCTATGCTCAAAGTCACGTCTGTCTCTCAGATTTGAAAGGTATAGTCGTATTGTCTGTCTGCTTATGATTTGTATTTGTAAACTGAATTAAAAATCATTAATTACCATCATTTATCAAACGGGTTCTTAGCCTTAGCACTGCTTTTAAATTATAAAGTCTACATATTGTATGTGAATGTGAATAATGTAATGGATTTGAAACGGATATACAAGAATATTCAGACAAAAACAAGTGTATTGTTTAAACAACTGTTTCTATACCTATGTATGCTTGAAGAGAGTGTATAAATAACATTATTAATCATATATTTTAAATATTTTTCCTTTGAATCATTGACTCTCGGCTTTTATTATTCGGTATAGAAATACATTTATTAAACATATTTTGTGTCTCCAATCAAAAAAGCAAATCGTTTTTTGTGTGAATTTTATTGTTTTTGCAAATAGTTTTGTAATGAGAGAGCGATTCATGTGATTTTCAAGAGAAAGATTTTTTTCATACTTATTCTGTTGTTTGCAATTTTCGACTGAATATCTGTCATGAATACTCGTTGTTAATCAACCAAAAAAAGTTTTGTCATATGTTTTACATTCAATTGTCACTATGTTTTCAATAGGCATGCATTCATACGTCCGTCAATCACGGGTCGGATCACCCCTTATGCCGCCCCTCAGTATCAGTCCATCGCGTTTGGAGAACACGCCTAATGTGTTGAACGCCCGGCGCTTGCATTCCGGGAACCAAACCAAAGACCAGAGCCAAAGATCGGGACCCAAGAGGAAAATGTCCGATTACTCCATCGAGTCTATACTCAATCTGAAACGAGATAACGACACCACTTATAGTCATAATTATAGTCACTATTACAACAATATTCAGTCAAAGCAATCGCTGTTCCCGTCGTCGCCGTTGACCGACGAACCCATGAATCTGTCGAAGAAGAGGCTCAGCACCGGCTCCCTGTCGTCCACGGGCTCGGGCTCGTCATCGCCGCCGCTGTCCATCTACTCGGCCCTCAACTCACCCCTCGGCGCCTCCACTTCGCCGTCATTCAAGTCAATGATTCCGATGACACTCTTTCACCACAAGAGCGCCAAAAGTCGTGTCTATCGGACGCTCAACAATAATGAGCGCACCTTTGAGTGCAAACAGTGCGGCAAAGTGTTTAAGAGGTCGTCCACTTTGTCCACACATCTGTTGATACACTCGGACACCAGACCCTATCCCTGTCTCTTTTGTGGTCAGTATTCATTCTTAGGCCTACTTTTCATAACATAATTATAAACTTAAGACATAATAATCTAATCCATTTGTCCATTTGTATGTCAATAGGCAAACGGTTCCACCAGAAGTCGGACATGAAAAAGCACACGTATATACACACCGGCGAAAAGCCACACAAGTGTGTGGTTTGTGGCAAAGCGTTCAGTCAGTCATCGAATCTGATCACACATTCCCGCAAACACACCGGTTATAAGCCGTTTGCGTGCGAACTCTGTCCGCGAGCTTTTCAGCGCAAAGTCGATCTGAGGCGACACCGAGACACTCAACACATCCATAACCCGGACCTCAAACTTCACAGCGCTTTTGTCTTCAAATAAATGCCGCAAACAATTTGGTTTCACATTTTCCCAGCTTTTAATTATACCAAACATTCCCATTGATTATTGCATTTAATTATTATTGACATTTTATTACCCAAAAATTTATTGTATTTAAATATTGCATTTTCAGTATATATTTACTCTATTTATCGTCTAATTGTAAGCTATATGTAAGATCTCTATCATGTTTAGCATGTATTTAATGCTAATGTTTTGAACATTTTTTATGATATTAATATTATTATTCATTAAATTATAAAAATTTGAAACTTATTGTGGATTATTTTCTTTGTTATTATAATTATATATTGAAAAAGTGTTATTCCGTTAATACCTGTATTGATATTATGCTTATAATGAATAACAAGTTAATAAAAATAGATTTTTAAAAATAAGCTTTACAAAACATTTCTGGTATGAAATGACATCAAAATTGATGGCAATTGAATAAAAAGAGGAGAAAAACAAATTTTTACTGTTTATTCTACTTTTAATAGTAAACACAATTTTATCTCTAGATTTTTGATTAAATATATATCGATAATTAATTGTTTTGAATGGTTTTTTACCAGATTGAAAGTCACTATTTTTGTTGTTTCGCCGCAAAATAAATAGTCGTTTGTAAAGTCAATTGTGTGGTTATGAGCGTAGAGTTGGCTGTTATTTAAATAATTGTCCCCTTTTTCTATCTCCTAATCATTTTATTTTTCATTCTGTGCTCTAATTTAGTGATAGATTTATTACAAAAAGCTATCGAAACCTTCATAAAACACAAATTATATTATTTACTGATTAAACCACTTTTACTCTATTATGGTATAAAATAATTAGTTTATCTATTAATTAAGCCTATAATAAAATTCTTGCAAAAATAATTGCAATTTTAAATAAGTTTTAACAATTTGTTTAGAAATAAAGCATTATTTAATGATTCATTTGATTTCAATTGAAAATTACAAATTAAAATCAAATCTAATTAATCGATATAATAATGTATTGTAGTGTAATGTATTGTAAATGTGAATCATCTAGATTTCATAACTATTTTAAAAGTGGTACTGATCTCCAGTTCAAGGAATTGCAAACATAACACAAAGTAATTAATTATTCTCAACAGAAATGATAATTTGTTACAGAATTGTGTTGTTTGTCTCGCAATCGATTTGTTTGTGTGTTTGTATTCAATATAAATATTTCCAATCAATAGAAATGTGATATTTTTAAAATGAAAAATATGTTTTCACACATAAAACACATCAATATTTGTATTACTTGTTCTATGCGTTCAGTAAATCAATTTAATTTTGGGGCATAAATAACTTTTTTATCATTCATTTTAATACTTATATACTTATTAGCGATCAATGATTGCTATACAGAGTGTTAGCCTTTTGAAAGCTACACCTGTTATGCAACGCAAACATGTAATTGATTGTAGATTTGAGTGTCTATTAATATAAAACTTTATATAACTTTTGTATTTCTCTCATATAAACAACTGTTGCCATCAATTAAAACCATTGTTTCGTTAATTCAATTATATTTTACACTAAATTTACAGAATATATACTAGTTTTTTGTTTTTATTGTGTTTCATACACACCATAAGTCCAACGAACTGTTGAATCCTAAAAAATACATTTTTATTTCACTTCAAATACAATACAGAAAATGTGCGGACAAATAGAGTAGACCTAAAAACCAAAAGTTCAATAAATCCAAGTATTTTTTCCCTCTTTTCTCTTATTCTGTATTATATCCACAAAAATATGATTCTTTGTTCTGATATAATGTCTGTCTTTTTGTATTTCCAATCGCTATATAATAGGAAAATATGTTTTCGGTGTTTATATTTTGTACATAAATAAAATATAATTCAATAGATTTTGTGTTTTCCATTGTTTATGCAATTATATAATTGTTAATCAATTATTTTGCTTTTAAATATGTTTTAATTAACAAAACATGATATATTACATAATATTATTATGTAATCGTTGTTAAGAAATGGAAACAATATTTTATAAAAAGATAAATTAAGCAATATAGCTTTTAAAAATTTTCAATACAGTATTACAGAGAATTTTTTAATAAATAACGATTGGGTTCATTATAACGGGTTAGTGAACAGACTATTGGTTAATCATTATATTATAATAAAAGTTAATAAACTTATAAAATGTAAAACACATTACAAATAGGAACTGAAAAATAATGTCTCTTTTATTGAATGATGAGTTAAAAGCATTACAGAATCGAAACGTTATTTTTGATGAACAAATAAATTTGTTAACTAAACAAACAATTATTAATTGCATTTTGAGTGTCTGTGAAAAATCATTGACAAAAAACTACAATAGTTTTCGTTTCAGATATAAATCTTTCGTGTCGTCGACCGGTAGTACAAAATGGTTTAGAAAAATAATAATAAAACTATCAATGTTTGAACACATGGTAAAGCCGTTTATAAATAAATTCTTAATTTAATAACAATATATAGGAGAGTGATAAAACACGACAAACTATATTTGCTATTTAAAACCCGGTAAAAATATTAATGAGTAAACCGTAACACTATTTGTTCAGTGATTATGTGTAAACCAAGCGCTCGACATCAGGCACCGGGACCTCAATATCGGTTTTTCAAATGAATCCTCCATTTCATCAAATGATTGAGAAATTAATAATTTTTATTGTTGTTTACATTTTAATCAATGTTTTGAATCATGTTTTTTTTGAAATTTAAAATTCAAATTCTAAAATAGAAATTCAAGAAATATTTTGTAAACTAACTTTTGGTTACAATAAAAATACTGAATAACACATAAATACACTCTAAAAATTGTATAATAACATGTATAAAAAGCATATTTTGATATTAAAAATAAATGTAACGTTGATTTCCTCCCTCCTCCTCATCCAAAGCATCACTTTTCAGATTAAAGACTTTTGAAATGAAAACCTAATGGATATGGTTTTGGATCTGATATCATTTCTCTCTCTCTCTCTCTCTCTCTCTCTCTCTCTCTCTCTAATGCTCTTACAAATACATTATCCGTTTTGCAATCTTTTAAAATAAGAGTATTTCTGATCTAAAAAATATCTCTCAGGTTATGATGTGGTCTATAATTGATCGATAGTTAATATCATTGAATATAATATTTGATTTATAATCTCAATGATTGAAAACAAACATCAAATGATTTTTTAGATCAAAGGATTTTAGATGAAAATATATCTTTAAATCATATCAATATTTAGTCTTTTTAAAACTATTTTTTGAGAAAATAAACCAATTTAATATTATACTGTAAAAACATTTATTTCATTGTATATTTTTATCATTCTTTATAATTAGTTATTTATTTTAGTAAATGTTTTCAATTTTAAAATTTTATTGTTAAAATCAATGCTTCAAATAAATTGTTAGCTGTAGAAAATAAATGTAAATATTTAAAAATATAATTTCATTAACTATTTAATTAAAACTAAAACTCATATAAACAAAATCAACGTTAATTTATGCTTTAAATAAGAAAATAAATATTACATCCAATGAATTACCGGTAAAACAGTGTATAACTATTGAGAAAGTGCTGAAATTCACACATTTTCTGCTTATATACACGACTTTAAAATAAATCACAGACTTATTGATAAGTTATCCAAAGATAGTATAAACACAACACATTTTTAAACACTATTTAAACGACAAATTGTACTCAAAATCAAAATATTATCTAATCATTAATTGTATGCTTTTCTATGGATTCATTGAATGTATGATTCATTAATGGTTTTAAAATTTTTATTTTAAAAATCAATACAAATGGCATTAATTAGTTAGTATTTATAATATATTATGTTTTATATGTATTTAATTAATTTTATTCACTTTATTATTTCATAGAAATAATTATAATATTGTGTGGAGTGATCGGTGCAGTCATATGCCGTTCAATCAGTACTAAATGCCCGGAACCTGAAGTAATACATCCATGTATTTGCGACTATGAGTCCAAAACTTATGAAACTCTGCTTCGAATCCAATGTCTGGGCGACGAAGAGTTGGATCTGATCCGTGTCTTCACAAACCTAAGCCAAACCCTGAAAGGGATGAACAAAAAGTTCAACGAATTCTACTTAAACAACACGAGAATCACTGAATTGCCGGCAAATGTCTTCGCAGACATTGGTTTCAAAATGGTTAGGATAGAGGGGGCGTCGCGTCTGACTCGCATCCATAGCCAAGCGTTTAACGGCACTCAACACACCATTACTTCCCTCTATATAAACGCCACACCCGTCCAGAATTCAGGGCCCGATTACGACCTGTTCGGCGCCATAAACACTCTGAACGAGTTAA